CATGCCTGGCCAAGTATGAACTCTTAATGGATATCTACATAAAATTCCACACCCCTCTGTGAAGCTGTCAGTCTTGGTAGTGAAGCACACAAGTTTCACACAAGCAGAAGAGGAGCCCAGCATAACAGCTAGTGCCAGTGCTAAAATTCACATCTGAAAGGCAACAGAATGACCAGAAACTTCACATCCTGATCTAAAATCTGCTCACTCTGTGAGACATCCCTCCTTCACCCTAAAAATCTCATCTACAAAACCAAATTAATTTGGCTCCCGAGATTGTGAGGAAAACCCAGGATAAGCAAATGGCACAGACTGACGTTGTATAAAACCTTGAAAGCACACAAAGTGATGGCTTCAACCATCCCAGTGCATGGTACCATCTCCCTTCAGCTCTGTGGCTTACTCCTGAGATGTAGAGCTGAGCCTCAGTCCCTTCCTGAGCACTAGTTTTGATTCATAATACACCTTCAATCCTAAAATGCAACATGTTGCACTTATAAAGTTTTCTCACCCACTCCCACTCCTCCTCACCAGATTTATTCTCTTCAAATAGTTCTGCCCAAGTTCCACTCCAGGCATCTGCACATTAGCCTTGTTTTGTCTGCCTGAGGTTAACTTTCTTAGTGCTCTCTAGTCTTCACTCAGTCCAGGAATATAATCCCCAAGGATTTCAGGATCTCTTTGCAGTAGTGGCATTTCCAGTTTCTGACTGTGGAAGAAATATTGATGTGAGTTCCTTGAAACCCTTTCACTATGAAGTGTCAATAATTACCATCTTGGCGTACAGAAAGGAGACTTTGGCAGGTTGCCCAGTAACATCAAACAGGTCTGGAACAGTCACAAGAGCTCAGCTTTCTGTAACAGTACCTGACATGATTGTAAGAAATCACATAATTTACTTCTAGGAATTTGAGGAAAAGATATATTCCTTCATTAATTTTGATCAGCAACATGAGACCTATCCTTTTGATACATGGTTACCAGATTTCAAACATAAGCTATGACTTCTTCCACTACCCATTTAACTGCTATTTTAGTTATGAAAGCATTTTTTTCTATTGGTTTTGTCCACAAAAATATGCCCTGACCAAAGCATTCTTTATTTAACTTTATAATTCAACGTGCTGTGAGGTTTTAACTAAAGCTGTACAAAACTTTCCTCGAACTCAGAGATTTTGTCTGAATGTTTTTTCCCATTTTAAGCTTCACAAAAATCCCAAATACAAGAATTACATACTTAAAAAACCACCAACCATCTGAATTAATACTGATTGTAAACCACAGGAATCATTTGATCCAAGACATACCACAATAGTGTATGTCATTGCACACCATTTGGCCCAAAGTTCCTTTTAGAGGCACAAGAACCTTAGTTAACCTGAACTCATTAGAAGGGCCAAACAGATTAACATTCACCATACTTCACCTCTTATGTATGCACCCACTGAGGCCTGAATTGCATCCTTATTAAAAGTTCTGTAAACACCACCATATTCACCATCCCATGGGGAAACTGTTTATCCCACTTCTTTCAGGACCAATTCAGAGTAATCAGGTAAGAAAATCCTGTGTTCAAACAATCCATGCTCAAATCAAACTATCAAATATACTCCAGAAAATATAGCTCTCCATTCTTCAGTGTCAAAATGACTCTGCTCTTCCATTTGTATTTGCCTTTGCTTTCTCAATGCATCTATTTTTATTTCTCTATTCTTAATATATCCATTTCTAAGATCATAATGTAATCATTGATCTCATAAAAATTATTCAAAACTCCAATACATGTCTGCTGTTTCACCGATGTGTTAGTCAGGAGACCATATAACATGCCAGAAACAAAGAAGAGTTGAAGTAAGAGAAGTCAATGCAAACTAATTAACAATGACTCTATCATTTTGTATGGCACTGAAATACTAAACCAGAAAGAAATCTGGCCATAACCCACTGGTCAACTGGAAAGAGTTTTTTTCCACCTTAAGACCTTTCTACCAGCATCTAGAGCAACTGATGAAAAAGAGAATCATATTTTTTAGACTGACCTATGAACTGTGCTGAATATATTATTTATGATATTTTCTCTTTATGGTTGTTATAGTAATTCTGCATGAAATCCCAAGATTCATTCAAACTCCACAAGCACACAAAACTTCCTGTTGCTATCACTTAATCAGCCCTAAAATAGACATTATAAATCTACAGCTCAACCAGAGAAACCAGCAAGGAGGCAAAGAACTGTAAGAGGATGCTGCGAGAAAAAGCAAGCAGAGCTGAAAACTGCTCTGTGACCCTCTGTGATGCCCCCTCCCACGGCCCTGATCAAGTGATTTCTCTTCTTCTTTGCCCAGTTTATGCATCCTCCCATACACGATTCAGTAGACACACAAAAGCCAAATATGTAAATGCACAACTGAAAACAAAACGCAACCAGGAAGTAAGAAATCCCCAGCTGGCACAAATTATCATTGCTTGACTGAAGTCACTTTGCACTGGCAGATGAGCCAACTGTATATTTCTATGCTAGCAGTCAAGTGGTCCTGGGATCCCACAACACTCTCCTATTTCTACTCATTTCATTTCTATATCTTCACCAAACCCTTCCCAAAATAATCTATTATTGTTATTGTAAAGCTGCTTAATAGCAATATCTTTATATATAAAAATGTCTTAACAAAAGAGAGCTTGGCTTATTCACTTTGTCACTTATTACATTGTACAGAGTGGCAGGATGGATACCCACACACCATTATGACTGCCACCCTTATCAGCCGGCCATGAATGTTGTACTACGTGGCTCATACACACTCATTAAATAAATGGTTGTCAGTGAATCCTAAAGATCAAAATAGAAGATGCAAGATAAAAATCTGTTCATATAAATAAACTGGAGATCAGACACACAGGACATTACAAGGAAACTGGTTTCCATCTAGCTGAGATGGATTTAAAGTTGAGTTTGTTTGTGTCACAGAAGAGTTACAGAGATCTGAGAAAAGTATTACAGTATTTACCACAACTAGCAAACAAGTCTTCTCTTTAAAATGCTTTCTGAGTGTTATTATCTTACTTCCCCTCCTGTTTTCTCCTCCAGTTTTTACAAGAAAGACTCTACCCCAGTCAAGAGGGAAATGTTTCAAGGTAGTGATTAGATATTTTCCCCTAAAGCAGTTAGCAAAATTGATTCTTCATATATCAGAATTACTCAGCAGGAAGCTAAACTCTAAAAGCTTTCTGGTCATAAGCAAGTCTCACAGCCTTCGATCTTTGCATTTCCCAGTCTATCTGAGTCAACCTGTATAATAGGAATGCACGCACTAAGAGACATGTGCGAAATGCCAGTTGCTCTGATGGAGAATCAGAGACAAAGCGAATGGCTATGCTAATGTATGTGAAGCCTGTGCATTTCTCCAGCTTTTTTTCTGCAGCTGGGACAAGACTTGCAGTGCATGGTATAGATGATTCCCATCCTTTCTGGGCAGTGGTCCCTAGCTTGGTTTGTAGAGACTCTGCTTTTCAGACTCTGGAGTCAGAGATTACTTCCATCTTTAAAGTACTTTTCTAGTTATGTCCAGGGCTGAAAGAGGACTGGGAACTTGTGGGGAAAAAAGCTTGTCTGACTGCTGACATGGAAGTACAATCTCTCAGGGTAAAGAAATCTTTCTGAATATGCTCATTCCTATTTCTGTCTCTCTGAGGAGGGTATCTGCAATGGAGGCAATGTAAGTGGCCTAGTCACAAGCTCAGAAGCAACCTTTAAAAAATTCATATTCAGAGAAAGACCTATTAATTAATTGAGGATTTGGCAGTAGAAGTGGAGGCACTCTACAGGATTTGGGTGCACTGTGGAACAATGCAAACATATGATATGGCAGAAACACATACATGTATAGTCTAAACAACAGACCAACTGGGAGGCCATAAACAACACTTTTAGAGGTAGACTCTGCCATCAAAACCTTGTCTACCAAAAAGTAAGCTCCACTGAGACTCCCCAAGCCAATTTCTACCCAAATCACCTGCATCAGGACCCATTTTATCTGTCCAATCACCACCCATTAGCAATATCACTGTCTCTCCTTTGAGATGTCCCTGCTTTCTGTCTCTCTCTGCCATGGTCCAGAAACTCCTCGGAATTTCTGTGTTCACATCCACCTTCATCTGTCATTTTCATCAGGGAGTAATGACTATTGTTCTTAGGGCTGATCTATTCACATGAGCTGTGCCTAATTTCTGTATCAGTTTATTTTTTATAGAAACCAGTATTTCTACATAGACCAACAACCTAGTCTTCATAAAATTCTACCAGGATAAAAAATGCTTATATGGGTTTTAGCATATTCACATATCTTTATCTGCAGCTCTATTGACATGCAAAACATGAGTGGATGAATCCTTACTGCTGCAAGTATATTTTCTTCCACAGCATGGACCTTTATTTTTTTTCATTTCATTAATTCATTTCTTTAAAAAATCCTTGTCTTGATACCAGCTTTAGGTCATCTCTGTTAATCCAGTGTCAACTCCATTATTGCCAATTACCTTACAAAAACTAGATTTTAACATGAGAAATAGAAATATTCATCATGTCATTTTATAACCCACCAAGTGCTTACTCAGACTAAAGCACTGATTTCAAAACCATAGCAAGCAACTAAGACATAATTAAACTTTTATCCCTGAAGATTTTGAGATATATATATTTCCCTTTTTTTTTTAAAAAAAAAAAAAAAAAAAAGAAAGGAAATAAAATAGACACTTGTAGTGGGATGTTTTAGTTTCATTTGATGTAAGAGAATGAAGAAATACTTTCTTACAAGCACTAGACATGAGAGAGAAAAAGATTAAGATGGAAAACAAGCTTTGTGTTGAGATTTTTACAATTGAGGTTTTATTTTGCTTAACACCTTGGTATTTTTCCAAACTTTGTTTTGTTTTCCCACTTACTTCTACATTAAAGTATAGAATTGACCCACCTCTGCATTAAAGAAAAGTTTTCCCTCTGGGACCAAGTCAGTGAAATATATCTACCCTTTTCCAGCACAGTAGTCAGCTGAATAAATACAACTTTATTATTCCTGAGCCACCTGTGACCCTTTGCATGTTGCAAACAGCACCAGATGGTGAAATTAGTACCTTGGACAATCATTTGAGACAATCATTTTGTCCATGCTTACAAGTGGACTTTTCTTTTCAAGATCCCTTAGCCTAGATCTTGTAGAAAATTCAGACAGAAGCCAGGTACCAGGAAACTGCTTCAAGGGTGCCTATAAGCAGTATGTTACTAAGTCCATCAGTCAAGGGCTTTCAAAGCCAGATATAGGTACTTCCATTCTGCCCTTCACAGCCCCAGTTCCACTGATGATCTGCCCTGGGTCACCTCTCAGACAAAAATGCATGGATTTTTTTTCCTGACAAGGTCTTCATACTTTAATGCAGCCTTAAATGCAGAACCCATGCAAACAAGGTCAGTGGTGGCCCCTACAAGTCCAAGCATCACTTACAGCAGTAAAAACAGGATCTTTAAGCATAAACTAAATACTACTATTCAGCAGAAAATAACCATACTCAAACAGTGCCTCAACACTGATAAAGTGCTTTAAGCTCATTTGTACCAACACGTGAAATCTCAGAACTGAAATTCAGTGTTTGGTCCCTCACCCTGCAGGACTCCCAAGCAAGAGTACAGACCAGTGTCCTGGCACCATGGCACTGCATATTCTGCTTCTGCAAGAGATAAAGAGAGCCAAGACTTGACTCCAAAGTAGTATCATCACCTGATGATTTTTTCACAAGAAGGTCATACATACACCGCTGCTGCTGTTCTGTTCCCCACATGTAGGGAGCTAACTCATTTGCAAGAAACTTAAGCCTTGATCATGGGACCATCCTGGACAGTCAGCCAATGGCTCACCAACAGCATGGTTTAACTCATCCCACTCCAATGCTCTTCAGACCTATGCACGTATATTCAATCTCACCTACTTTTAAAAGACCATCATGAAGACTCCTCTGGGACTGATTGCAGAGATGGATCATAAAGGAAAATAATTAGGTCAAGACAAGGCTATCACCTGTCATGAGGGCAAGCTGAATGCAGAGCAAGGTGTAAGGCTTGGATGAAATCCAACACACTTCATTCCAGAGCCCAAGCTTCATCCTTTACAGCATTTCCGTGCAGACATTGCCACAGAGAAATAAATCAAATCCAAACCAGCTTGTGTTTATCCTCTTTCTTCCTAAATCTTTATGTACTGTTGTGTCTCATCCCTTTCCTCCTTCACTACCTAGTGTGTCCTATTGTGCTTATTTGTCAAGTTACCTAATTAGTTTGGGGCCAGATCAACAGATTACTCATGATAGTAGGCTAAGCAAATCACCCAGGAATAAGTGTTTACTGGATCAAGCCCTTAGACTGTCAGTTCCTCAGAGCAGAGACTGTGCTTTATTATTCACATGCAGAGTAGTCTGTACACCAAGCGTGTTATATACATAATTCATTTAAAAATAATAATGGTGCACTAAGAATGAAAAACATGCCAGCAGGAAAGTTCACTGACTGCACTACCATCAGTAACTTGGAGCTGCTCACACGCAATTCAGGCTTGGAAAACCAAAAGGATGATATTTTGTTTAAGGCAAAGGATCAAGAGTCAGAAAACCTGCAGTGCTACTCTCAGTGCTGCCACAAAAAATTTATCAAGACAAATCTTTGGAACTGTGCCCCAAATTCCCCTTCCGAATAAAATAATAGTACAAAAGGGGGAAGTATTCTCCTACTCCTACTTGACATACTCAAGGGTAAACAAGGATTTGGAAATAGAGAGACAACACACTGTACATTAAACATAAGTAGTACGTAATTGCACAATAACACATTTTTTTTTTAATGTAAGACACGGACACCTTATTGGTTTTATTATTTACAGATAATCTCCCTAAATCTACAGTATAGCATATACTTACAGGAAACAGCCACTTCTGCACACCAATGTGGGGGTGTGTGTGTAACTGTCATGTGAGCTAAGCACTGACACAGACAATTTACATTTGCAGATCACAGACAGTACAGTAGAACAGAGAATGTTTTATGATGAAGTATAAAACTATGACATTGACCTGTCTACTTCACCATTTAATCCAGCCTTGACCCTCTAGCATCTAAATATTCATGACTAGCATGACCCCCAGGCTTTTCTCTCACACCTGGTTGTACCTAAGAGTCAGAGAGTTAACCCTTTCACAAGCCAATGTTTTGGAGCGGTTGTCTCCTCCTCTTACTATTATGCCAGTGTCTTTTTTTTCACTTTGCCATCTACAATAGCCTGGCTATTCATCTTCCATATTTAAAAACCTTTATGCAAATCAGGCTGGTAGCACGGCAACCTAAAGTTCTTGCATTAATGCACAGTATTATTCACATATAAAAATTCCATTTAAATCCCATTAAGGTTATGACATAAATCCAAACAAACTAGAAAATGCACAGTTAAGGTGGAAAAGTGACATATGTCTTCCAGTCTCTCAGCAGAAGAAAGCAGAATAAGAAACTTATTAGAGTGTCACCCAGTTGGGGCAAAGCATAGAAGCACATATGTTACCTTCCTGCCTTTTAACTGTTCATTCCCTTGCAACTGGGATTTGCTTAATTTTTGCTTAATGCCTGTGTCCCAGTATCAGTGGTCCTAGAAGGTAGTTTTTGCCTGTAAATACTTCTGAACAATATCCATTCCAAGGGACAAGAGAGGCAGCCTCCTGTAAAGCAACTGTATGCTGGGAAAAAAAGTCAGATTAACATTTTATATTTTTCTGGAGGTGTTTCTGGGGGATAGTAAAAAGCAATGACACATATGACACTGTTTTGTAAGTGTCCCAATTAGCAGCATTGCTGTTCCAGTCTGGAGGCAGCTAATTCTGTTCTCACGTGTTCCTCCCTTTGAATTCTTGACACTTCATAGTAATGAACTGCACTGCAAGGTCTTGCAAAAGAGTCAGTTTAAGACCAGAGTTAGGTTCCAGTAATACTTAAAACACTCTTGGGCATGGTTGAGCTGAAGGAAGGGGTGCAGGCACCACTGCCTTTTGGATAATCCACTGTATCTGGTAAGGATGTGGAGCACAGTGGTGCTCCTGAGCACCTATAGCTAGTGTTGCACATCCCTGCATAAGCAGATGTATCTCTCTTCCTATTATGCATAAGTAAAGTTTAACCCTGTAGCCCTGTAATCCAGAGAAGGGGAAAGAGGAGAGGTTGATTGGGGTTTTAGCTGCACTACTCAAGCTGCAGATGCTATAGTTAGTTGTGAAATTTCAAGCAGAATCAGGCCCAGAGCCTGTGCTTTGTCGTGTGTGTCATATAGGAAAGTATTGCATAGTGGGCTGTTAATGGAAAGTGTGGAATATATTCTTTCTCTTTGGAGTTGAATTAAACTTGATTGTAGTTTTCCTTCTTTTTGGTAATGATAAGAGTACAGAAACAAACCAGTTCAGGCAGTGAAGATGTTGTCTTGACTAGAATCCCAAGTTTGATTTGAATTAGCCATTCGTAAGACAGACATGCATATGTGCGCACACACAGGCATACACACAAAGCTTTGAAAGAAGTTCCATCTGTTTTTTGGTAAGGCTGGGTCATAATTAACAAGAGTAGAGATATTTCATGCTCTGCGTCTGTGACCTGACATGTCTTCCTTCATGTTGTCATTGAACACTTCTGTCCTAAAGAGAACTGGTATTAATTGGGGATTCAGCAGAGCCAGGGATTAAGGTTTAGAGGAGGGGTTAATGTTTTTTTAAAATTTAGAGTATATTTTCTTTCACTCTGTCTTGAAGAAGTTATTTTTCCCTTCCTCTGTTCTAAGCAAACATTCTACAAATTATACTTTGAATAAAACACATCACAGACTTCCATGGAAACAGCAATCAGCATGAGGAAATTGTGGAAAGTGCTCAAGGTGACAAGCTTCTGCAGCGCCATCACAAGATACAAGTTGAACCCTGGCAAGTACAGAAGAAGCTAACATGACAGTACAAAGCTAAACAAGATCACAATGTTTGGGAGAGGGAGGGAGGGAAGGGACATATGTGCCCAAAGCCATCCTTTCCTGCCAATTATTGAATCCTTGACAAATGACAAACATTCAGGGTTTCTTCTGGATGGACCTTCAGGGAAGGTTGAGAGAAAAGCTTAAATTGGGGATGTCCAATGTCTTCTTGGACACTTTACATTTCAGATCAATAAATGAGTGCAATTAGACAAATATCTGTGAAGGATGAGAGGTGCCTATAGGTACATATTGTGTTGAAGTTTATAGGAGACAGTTTTAGCCTGTGTCTTCAGAGGTCTCTTTCAATCCTTGCTGAACTGCTGAAGAAATCAGGTCTTCTCTGGGTTGTGAAGAAAAATGGGTTACATGGCAGACACTGAAAAACACAGAGATGAAGTATATAAGTAACTATCAAATGTCTGGACAGGTGTATTTTTGAGAAGCCTTTCCTAACAAAGCAAGATTATTTGTACTTATTATGGTATTCTTACTTTCTTCAACATCCAAGTGCTCAGTGATTCCTATTCCATCTTTCCTTCTCCCATTTCTAAACGTTTATGCATTCGTACCCAGAGGCTTGTCCAGAGCTCTGACACTACAACCTTCTCTTCCACCCAGGATTCATGGCAGCACTCTTCCTCCTCTTCACCTTATTCACAGCTCAGCTGCTGCAGTCATGTCTTGCTCCATGGCCCACATCTTCCCATCACCAACATTCCTTTTTCATCAAACTTAACATTGTCTTTCACAGTTGTCATTTTCACTGCTGCTCATTCTAGGTGAGCATTTGCTACTCAAACCAAATGGTTTTTTTCATTTGCTCCTTACGTTTCCAATTCTTCCTTCTGCACCCACTATTCTGCTCCTCACATTTTCAATTCTTCCTTCTGCACCCACTACTCTGCTCCTCACCTTTACCCAAATATCCTCCTTTCTTGAGATAATTTTTAACAACAACATAGAGATGACTGCAGTAGGCCACTTTTGACCTTTCGTCTGGAAGACTCATTGTGTTTATATTACACATCTCTAAAATTTTTAAGGGTATCACTCTGTACAGACAAGAACCAGCATCCTTTAGTTTTCAGTGCCAAGTATGTAGCTCAAACTCCAGAAATAAAAGTATTAAGGCAGTATGTTCACAGCCTCTCTAGGTACAGATAAGTTGACTTCAAAGGTTTTCAGCTCACCCTGCTCCAACCTGGCTGTCAACTGTGCCACCTGATCAAGTATGTCACCCAGTCAGATCTGCTACCTGAACTCACTTTTTGCTTTCTCCCAAATCTGAATCAGCCCAAAAGAAATAGGTAGATTAAACACTAGGTTCAGAGGTGGGGGGGATTTTTAGAACAACTCATTTAGATTTAAATGGATCGAGAAGCTCTTACCCAAGGAGTTCAACCAGAATATAAAGGAGAATAGTCATGCCTGAGAGAGGTACAGAGTGATACAGCTGGGAACATGAGGCTTCTCAAGAAGAGGATGTTGTTTTCATGGCCTAAAGTTCCAGTCTTATACACCTCCTCTGCATGTATGAGTGGCTCTATTGACATCATGTATTCAAGTGCAGGAGTAATTTTTTTTTTAAGCAAGTAAAAGGCTACAAATCAGCATGCCAGAGACGGGACTATTATAATGTGCTAGTAAGCCAGTCAGATTGAAAGCTTAAACTCTGGAGAGAGGAGTCACCTTTTATATCTTTGAAGTGTGTCCAGCATGACAGAACTCAGTCCTTGTCAAGGTTTCTGAGTAGTAGTTTAATACAGATAGTAAATGTCACATAGACCAATGTGCATGGGGCTTTATACAAGTTTTTGTTAACTCTTGGGATCATAAAAACTTCAAAGTTTCAATAGAATAAGGTAGTTCTACATCTAAATGTCTCAAACTACTTTCTTGGATCCAATCAAATAAAAGCATACCCTGCTAGGAAAGGTTTCCCATATGGAAATTTTCCTTTCAGATTGTTTTGTTCCCTTTTATAACCACCAGTGACAGCACAGCATTTGAGGCATAAGGAGGAAGTTATGCCGTGTAGCTATTGTGAGAGAAAACAAAATAAAGGTGGAGAGAAAATGAAGAAAATACTATGAGTGCACTTAAAAGGTGTATGAAATCTCTTCACCTGCATTGACCCAAGAATTGTGTCAATTATGAGGATTAACATGTTTCCTGTACATAACAATAGGTTATGTCAGCAGCTGGAGAGAAATGGTGTACTCACTCAGACATTAAAGTGCAGCCTAAAGATTACTTATACATGGAGTCATTAAATAAATGCAGGTGTCCTAACTGGCACCGTGAAAACACTAGTCTGTCAGGAGAGAACAGGTATAAAGCAATATCTCATATCCAAGAATGTACCTAAAACCAAACATAAATACTCTGAATAAGTTATAAGAGGAGATTCATGTCTGTCATATCTGATCATCTTCAAAGATTACATCAGTTGACCTTATTAGTTTCTGGATCAGATGTTCCCATCCTCTCTACCACTTGCTTAACAGATATAAACATTTTGTGGAAAACTTGTATGGGTTTCGGTTCTTCCCAGACTACCTTCCACTTTGTTTATCTCAGTGAAGGATTGATTGAGTAATAAAAAGTGTCACATAAATATGCATACATTTCCTGACAAAAAAAGCTTCACAAATAAGTGGACAAACCCTGTATAGACTTATCCTGTTGCCAACTGTCCAAACATCACTTCACTTCTGAAGGACCACAGCTCTGAATTGGTTGCTGAAACTTAGCCCCAAACACATCAGAAAAAAGTCACAGTAAATGAAATTCAGTGCACATTCTCCTGTTCTGATAGTCTTTTAAGTAACACTGCCTCAGGATACATTAGTTTCATTATCTCTGTGTCTATAATAAGATCCTAGTGCACGACAGCCAAAGATTGCCATTTATCCTTCCCACACTGACATGTTTCATTTTGGTTGGTGGAAAGGGTATGTTATGTGAGCCACAGCCCTGTAATTCCTACTCAGCATCGTATCATGGACATGACATTTGGCCCTGAATCCTTCCCATGAGAGAAGAGCTGTTGTTGTACTGACTCAGAATAAATATTGCTGGCTCCTTCAGCAAATGTAAAGTTTCGGTTTTAGCTGAGCTGTTATACACAGAAACTTCCTTGTGGGAGAAAAACAAAACAAAACAAAACAAAACAAAACAAAGCAAAACAAAAACCATCTCCATACAGTCAGTTAAGAGATCTGGGCATCTCCAAACTGATACTCAAAAGCCTAGTGCCGAGTGGGGACTTGAATAAAAGTGGTCTGTAAGAAATAGTAAGAGGGGGCATATCTGCTGTTTGTCTGAGGATGTGTGGTGTCTTAAGGTTGCTTAAATTATGTGCTTCCAGCTAGAGTGAACCCAGACCTGAGGGGCTCCTCTAAGCACTCAACAGTAGTGAGATTTAGGGATCATGAGCTAGAAGTGGGAAATCTGCTGAGTATCTGCACTTTCTGCTGACTCTTTACAGGCACCTATATCTTCTGTGCACAAAAAAAAATAAAGCAGAAAGCAGCAGAAGAACATACTTTTAAGATAGAACCAGTTCTTCTAATGCAAGGATTATAATATGTGATTTTCTGAGATTTCAGAGAACTGCATTCAGTGATGCAGCAGACCCTCTTCCTACTTACTGTGGTCTTGTGCTTCCTGAGACACACTTAGATTAATATCAACAACACATTACTGGGCCAAACATAACTACTTTAAAGACTCTCCACCTACTTATTCAAGAGCACCACACGCATGTGAGCTATCTAGCTCAGCTTCACTGTTGAAGGGTATGCCTTGGTTGCCTGTGGAGGCACAGCTGCAGAAGAGACAGCTAGAACCCAGCAAGCTCCATATAAATAGCAGAGTTATCACTGAAGCTATTCATCATACAGGTCTTCCAGGGACTCTAAATATCTACTCCAGTAGATAGTCTGTGCTAAAATCCCTTCTGAAAGTAACATCTGTGAGTTACCTTGTCTATGGCAGAGGCAGGGCAACCACTCTGGAGTGGCATTACTGATCCCATTCACAGCACTGTCCCACCCAGCAGTGCCTCAGCTCACACAGGGATTCACTGGAGACACTGCATTAGTGATCGTCTAATCTTCTCTCCACATATCCCATCAGTCTTTCTGTTGGGGTATCAAAATACAAAACCAATGGTGTGCTAGTGAGGAACAAGGTTTTAATTGGCATCAAAGATGAGGAACAGAGTTACACAGAGGAGCATCCCACTCATATGCCTCTCAAACAGATGTTTAAACACCCCGTGGAAGAAGACAGGGTAACTTACGTAATTTCTGCTAGTCTCCCCAGCTTGGCAGAGCTTATCAAAACATGACCCTTTTCCTTAGGTAACCTGTGAAATAGTTGGCCATGCTTCTCATTGTAGAAAACAAAGCATCTCTTGTAAATTTATTTCAAAAATATGAGTACCTTCACTCACAACATCTTGTGATGCCGTAACTGATGCAAAATACAACAAAAACAGTTAACATTTGTGCTGAGGGAGAGGGAGATACTCTTCTGTCTAAACATCACTGTAAGTGTAGTTGCTTTTGCTGAACCTTATAGACATTGATAAGAATAATAACTATGAGGTCATAAATCATCTTACCCTAAACAAGAAGCCTAAAACCAGTCAAAAGAAAACCTTCCCTAAAAATGCCTATTTCTCTTCATAGACTATGAAGGGAACCTAAGGTGACTGTAATCCCTAAATGCTTACCACATAAATGTCTAAAGCTCGATGAAGAGAAGCTCACACTCTGTCTTAGCTCAGGTCAGCTAACCAGAATTGCAAGTAGCATTTTGATTCCCTTATAGTATGACTTTGTACAGCTCTGCTCTTTCCACCAGCTATTTGAGTGTCTGCAGAATTTTCCTTTAGTCGAGTCAAAAAGGATCCTCTTTAACCCTTGATGATTACATCTTTGCTTAGCAGTTCATCATGAAACAACATAAAGTATCATGCTTTATTTGCTTGACCATTCATGAAATCATGAACAGACACAGCTGTGCCAGTACTTTCTTATTATATTAGCACTCAGAAGCAGGATCAATAGGACTACCTTCTATACAAACCCTTCTCGCTGTGTTACTGCCAATCATGCACTGGATGAGGCAGGATTTGTGGTCTTTTAGGTCAGGCTGCTTCGACTTAAAGATTTACACTTCATATCATCTTGTTAACATATTGTTGTAATGCATTAGGTAAGAATCTATACAGTATCGAATACTTTGTTTCAGACACCTTGATTAAAATCTGTTTGATCACATGGATTACATTCCTAGTAAAAAAGCTGACAGCATGGTCAAATTACATACAGCATGTTGTGTCAGGTTGCCCGTGCAAGGGAAACTACAGGAAACTCTGGATAACTTGCGTTTTTCTCTATGTAGTTTCTTAAATTTTGATTGATGTTCTTTAAACGTATTTCACCTAATCAGAGTATTATACCTCACTATCCTGAAATAAACATTACAGGCTGACCTACTATTTCTCTCTTCTATAAATGCAGGAAGATGAAGCGTACAAACCGAGATTTAACAGGCTCCAGCCATCTACTCTGCCTCCAGGAGAAATGCAGCAGCATCCATCCCTCAGAGGACTGACACCCCCATGCTCAGCTCCACTATGGCCCCCACTGAGGCCAGTAGCTGTGAGCTGAGCTCTGGCCACATGCTGGCGTTGCGGCTCTATTACCCAGCTCCCCTCCCCAGCACCATAGCTGCCCCTAGTCATATCCTTTTCTTATATAATCTCTGTATTTCCCATAATTTGACAGACTGTTTCATGACTATATGCAGCTTTGTCTCCTCTTCCCACCATCCAGCAGCTCACTGTTTTCTAACTCCAGTCTTCTTCAGCCCCTTGGTCAACCTTAGTGCCACAGCATTGCCAACCTTTACCTCTACTCCCTCTTGCTGTTTTTGTCCAGCCCACAGAAAGCATGACAGCTTTACTTGTCCAGCAAGGACTGATTCTGCTTGTCCTGGACAAGGAGATTTTTTTCCCATCTTGCTCTTGTCTCCACAAATAGTCAATATTTGCATAATATATAAAGTGTGTGGGGAAACCTCAAAAGATTTGGTTCAATGCCTTTTGGATAAGCACCTGAAAAGCTTGGCTGTTTGTGCAAACCTAATCCAAACAATCTGATTCTTGAGTTAATGGGCTGGAAATCTTGTGAGAACAGGTTGTCTCTCAGTACAAGATTTCTTGTAATTTTTGCTTCTGCTGTTGGAATGGGAATACGATGAAAATAAGCTATTGTACTATTTTGACACTTCCTTTCAGGGATTCAGGACAAGGAGGGGAGAAAGTTACGTAGACTTTTCTCATACTTACAAAAGTATCCATCAACTTAAACTGATGTTTCAGGTGAGAACTCAGGATGGGAGATTATGCCATCCAAGCCAATTCAGCTGTTCTTTTATAGCAGTGTTCACCAACTTTATTGATATGCATCAGGTATTGGTAAAATAATACACTACATACTCTGACTGACTGGCTAATAGGAAGCTGTCAAACTATGAATGCTATAACAGTCACATAATAATAACACAGCACTACAGAAGGTAATAAATTATATACTTGCCACCATCCTTCACATATTCTATACGGATCACAGAGTTATGGTTATTGGTTGCAGTGTGTATTACCAGGTCCCAGGGTCACCAGAACAGAGTTAAATGATGTAAGGGAGTAAGTAAAATTATGATCTACGTTCAAAAACTGCACTAGCCTTGGTGCCTATTTACCTCATGCAGTATGTTTATATACTGAGTGTGAATAATCAGGTTCACTGAAAAAGGAGAAAAAATTGACAATGCCAGGGGCAGAACAGTGCTTTCCATTTATCAAGAATTTTGGATTGAAAAGCCTTATTTATTTTTGTAAATGCTGCAGGTTGTGGGGGATCTCTCAAAGTTGGCAAAGCTTCTCTCACAGATCTATAAGACTCTGTACCCAGTAAGGTATTTATTTTCCTCACCAAAGTTCAGCTGAGACCATCATGTGGAAAGAAAGTATTCCAGTAACTGCTGTGTGCCACTCTCAGATAACAACTGAGCCTGAGACCAAAGGCCACAATAATCCTAGCTTATTGTTACTGCTGCTGCTCCTACTTGAGCAAAAGGAGCAATTTCTCTCCATTTAGGCAATGCAGTATTTGTGCTTTAGTTTGAAGTATCATCCACTTACATTTTATTCATGAATCCTTTCAACTTCATTTCGTCTCCACTCTTCAGTGTATTGCATATCCACATGCAGTAGACCTCAAAGACAATGCTGATATATCATAACTTATACTCAAGGGAAGCACGAGGGCGGAATAAGTAGTGGCTCTGTACAATCAGAGACTGCTTCCAGATTCACCAGGGAAGACAGTTCTGGATAGGGAAAAACAAACATAATTACACAAAATTGTATTGCTAAAAATTCCCAATTACACAGATCAATGATATTTTACACTGTACATGGATTTATAGACTATTTAGGATTGACTGATACAGCTATCAGCCACGTACAGTCAGCAAGTTATGTATCTCTTGTCAGCAAAAAATAAAAAAATAAGGGGGAGGGTGTTACTATTACATCTGAGATGAAATTGTGTTGTACTTTCAAAGCAGATGTCATCTCAAGAAAAATTATGCTTAGGCAGGAGTTTTCATGTAAATAATTTTCTGCTGGGCAATCTATCGTTCTTTGATTTTTTTTTTGTAAGTATCCATATAAACCCAGAGATTTCTAAGAGCAGCTATAACACTGGGGGAGAAAACAGGAAAGTGGAAACAGCCTAGAGCCTAAGTACCCCAACCTAAAGGATCCCTAACTCCAGATCTCATTTGCTGTTTTACCTCTTTAGGTAACAGGTAAACATGTTAAACAAGTTACCTTCTCTGCCCCCTCCGCCCCCAACTCCTGCTCAACATATACATTATGTCAAATTACACATCTGGAAACCACCATCAAGGCTATGTGAGAATAACTGGACTAACGGGACAATAGCATCCATTCTCTTCATAAGCATTCAGTTTGTCTCATATTTATTACAGTGTGCTTTTAACCCTTTCTGTTTCCCACCCTGCTGTGTGTAATATCTCTGTACTAAATGCCAGCCCAACTCATCTGTACCCTCCCCCTAAAAGCAGTAAGGTGCTCAGGTGTAATTGTACAGAATTTGAACAATAATCCTGGCTTTCTCCTGAAAATGAACAGTAGTGCATGAAAGGTAATATACCCCTATTTTGCTGAGTGCAGGGCTCTGAAAGGTCACACTGGGAGAGAGACTGTGAATTGTTTGGAAAATAGCCAATTTGATTACAATGGGCAATTCTGAGCTTACGGTTTTCTTGTGTCTATCCTGCCTAAAGTGGCATCATTTGTAATAACAACTGTATTGCAGAAGCACTGTGGAAGAGACCGCAAGCCCAATTTCTGTTCTGCTGAAGAATCAGAAAGGGGACTTAAATATAAAAACCAAAATACAACCTATTCAACATTGTCTACAATACAGACATTCAAAGCAAGTTCAGAAGCATGAAATTAATATGACATATACCTGTTAAGCAGTCACAATTAGCATCAGTTTGGGGGTAAAATGAACATTAAAAGTTACTGTTAAGTTTTGACAGGTCATTTTCATTTTTGCAAATAAAAAATTTAAACCAGACACAATCCAGGGCATTTCTTTGTTCTCACTGTCTAGATGTAAGTCTCATCATGGAACTCGCAACATGGTTTCTTGTTAATCCAGGTGATTGCCTCCAGTGGCTAATGTGACCAATTCAAATTCACACATGACAGCAATGACTCAGGTGATTCACAAGTCCTCCTTGTCTTGTTGCAAGAAATAGTAGGATTCAAAAATCTCAGTTTCTCGTGGATAGACCCAGACATTTGGTCAGTCTTGTATGCAGACTGAAACCCCACATATATTCTCATGACAATACTATTGGTTTTGCTTATAATTTCCCCATGTGAAGCATTGTTGTTAGAGCCACTATAGATAAATGGGTTTTCCCGGACATGCTCTGTTTGTCCTGGACATATTTCAGGATTTTTCTACATTTGCCTAGGGTTTGCAGTCATCTGGTAAGTCTAACACACATCCGCCTGGGGTACACATGCTCAGCAGGTCTGACATCTTTCAGAAATATGGTAGCCCTAATTATAGGTTCTTGCAGATGGGTTGCTTACAGATTGAAGCTCCCTTTCCATTTTTTGCATATTTATAAGTATCTGATTAATGAATAACCATAGGTAGTGAACTGCAATGGACTTGTAAATGACCTGAGTAATTTTAGAGGAGGCCACACCAACCTGTTCTAAATCCCCTTGTTTAGTTCAGTCACACTGGCAAGCTACACTGAAATCGGAGTTACTCCCTCCAGTGGCCTGGTGTAATGGCTGCATAATTCAGTAATAACTTATTAGCATATCATTCCTTGAAGGAAATCAGCTGTTTCTATCTAAACAATATGGTTGAATGTACCATCTTAATATCAAGGAGGAGGAAAAAAAAACCAAACCAAACCAAACCAAAACAACCAAACTAACCAAACAACAAAAAATACAGAAACTAGTATCTACTAACTCTAGAACCTTCTGTAGGTTTCTAATCCCTCAAGAGCTTTTTTGAAGTTTTTGAGAATGGTGGTCAACCAGAAGTAGATTCAATTACTACCAGAAATAGTCAAAATCTCTTCACTCAGCTTGGGTAAGTGTGAAGGATTAACCGGAGACCAAAAAAAATGCTGTTAGAGTCTGTTCTTTCAGAAAAAAATTAATTCTTTCTCAGTACCTGATTTACATAAGTAGTCTCACCCAAATCCCAAACCCTGATGGAGATTGCTCATTACTCTAGCTTTCCAGTACCCAAACATCTTTTCTTAGTTTCATTTTTTCTTGCTATGTGTGTCTTTGATGCTTTCCTTGAAAGATTCTCCTACCTTAATTTCCAGTGACACTAAGACAATAAAGAGTAATGTGAAGAATTTCCACTTGATGTTAAGGATTAATGGCCTAGCTTTCAATTTTCAGTTCATTAAGAACTCCTCCCAAAATAATCCATTTTGTGATGGTCTGGAGACTTTGATCTAGTAAAAGGCAAGGGATTTAAAGAAGACTTTTCACATGAGCCATTTAAAAACTGTCATAAATAGACAAAAGTAAAAAAAAATATACAAAGTAGTCACAAATGGAAAGCAGACTGGGCTACAGCTTTTTCACACTCTTTTTCAGCTATCATGGAGAGGTTTAATGCATATTTCCAGCATTTGTTCTTTTCTTTGCTGCTGAAAACTGTAAGTTAAACATCATGCCACAGTTCTTCACAAAGGACCTGAGGGGGGAAGAAGAAAAAAAAAAAAATCACCAAACAAATTACATATCTTTAGTCAGGTTACCAAGTTTCTCTCTGTCATAAAGAAATGCAGAGAAATTTGCTTATTTGTAAGCTTTCTGAGAGAGATATCAAGACATTATTAGAAAGCAGGGCTAGGCAGAAAATAGTTTTCATATCCATAAAGATTTGATATTTCAATTATTTTTCCAGCCTCAAAAATGAAATCTCATAGAATCAGAGAATAGTGTAGATTGCAAAGAACCTCTTTCTTCAGAATGAAACAGTCAAAAAAATGGTTTTCATTCAACTGAAATGTTTCATTTGACCTAGTTTCTCTTTTCTATGCAAATTAAATTAAATTTTAAAAGAAAAAGTTTTATGACTGAAAAAAAATTCAATGTTTATAATTTTTGTAAATAGTAAAGTAGGTATTGTTTATTGAATGTGTGATATATTAACAAATAATTCACTGAAATAAACCAGCTCATTTTCTGAAAATCTTTTAGCAAATCAGCATTTTTCATTGAAAAAGTTAATGAAGAATTTCTATCCAACCACACTGAAGAATGTCCCTCTGCAGGTGAGTTTTAGCACCTACAATTTATCTTCATATATGGTTTAGGAAGCCCTTCCATTGTCTTTTCACCTGTTTAAGGTATTATTGGAGCCTATGGATCTCTTTCTTGACTGTCTTTCAAATAACTATAATCATCCAAACACATCAGAAGAGTATTATTTCCCACAAATCACCTTTATGAAATATTGCAAGAAGTAGTGGGGAATCTCCTAATTGCAGGAGTGACATCTTTTCCTCTGAATGTATGAACTGAAGTTGTATTTGTGTAGACAAAAAACAGAACCCCAAATTCCACCACCAGCTAACTAAAACTATTATCCCTGCTGAACTGTTCCCATATAAATGTTAAATGGTATCAGAGTTCATCTGTTCTCTCACTCACCCACAGTAAATAGTAATTCTAATGCAGAAAACACTGTATTTTCTATCTTAAATAAAAGAAATGAGGGCAGAAGAATAAACCTAGCTTCTTTTACTCCTTTTTTGTAACCTTGAATGAAAAGTGTGCAGTTTATGACTGTGCATCTCATGAAGAACATATGCTATTTCTCCAAATAAGCATCATATATCTCAATATTCAGGTCAGTTACTCACCCCTACCCCCTCACAGTAGTTGATCTATCAAGTTAAATCACAGACTTTCTGATATGAGTGTCAATGTAGATCTGACATTAAAAAATTAATCCATAGTGGGGCAGAAAAATAGTAAACAATGCATAAAAAAAAATTAACTCCTTAAGCTCTCAAGTCACTAAAATCCAGAGGTGGGTGCACAATTTATGTTCTAGTGCAGACTATATTTTAGTTCAACATTTTGAATGCATGGACAGTTTTTCATGAGCTCATCTTCCCTTTCCTTTTCAGATCTCTTGACCTATATGTTGCCTTTCCTTTCCTGTTCTTCTGCAAGAACTTTGCTGCTCCAGCTTCCATATAACCTCTTCTTCTATGACTGACACCATTCCCTGCCACAGTCATCTTTTTCTCCAAATTAAATAAGCTTAAAATACATTGTTCCCAGGTGCACTTCTCTTGGGTATTTTCTGGGGGAGAATCTCAAGGACCAGGTGCTATTTCCAAAGACTGTGTCTATGTGTAGCATCTCAGATTTTTGGTTCAAAAGCTTTTTACTTCATCCCAACACAAAAGAAGGTGTGGGGAAGTACACACTCTTGAAAACTTGGAGGAAGTCTTCTCTTGATCATATTTAGTAATGTATCCCTGCAGTGTGAAGCTTCTCCTCTTGTGCATTGAAGCCCCAGTCTGGCTTCCTTCAAAGTCAGCACCTTCCTACTGACAGCAGCTAAAGAAGACCACTGCACTGCAAAGCTGTGCCAAGCAGCAGTCTTTCTTCAATACATGGCATATAAAATGCTACTCGTTTGTCAATAGAGAGAGATGACAACATTCAGTTTGTCTCTAAGTTACAGGATATCTCCCTACTTGGGAAAATGACAAAAGATGCGTGCATATAAAAGGTACATTAATAGAACAAATATAAGATTATTTCTTTCAACCTGAAAAGACCTAGTCTAGAAAAAAAATGCTTTTTCCTAAAAAAAAAAAAAATGCTTGAGTTTGCAGCATTCACTGCAAAACCTTTATACCATGAGCTCCAGTGCTGCTCTGCAGGAGGGGCTCACTTTATCCGCTGGCTTGTAAATGAAGTGGGATGTGATGGACAGTGCAACCACAGAGAGTCCTGCAACAGCGGAACAAGGAAAGAAAAGGACCCTGAGAACAGATACCGCAAAGGGGCACGTTAGGCCTCCTTGACATATTCTTTTAGATTAACAGTAAATGTTTAACTGTTCTCAACAGCACCTATGTCCCAAATGTTAACAATCTCCCTGTAAATAATGCAGAGGAAAGAGATGCAGCATACACAGACTTATGAGAGAAAATGCATTAACTTTAGATGCCAGGCCTTCAACGGACAGTGGATTTTCCAGCTTAGGCCCCAGATTTCAGCGGTCTGCAAGGACAGGTCTGCAGAACACCCTCTGATCTTTCTATCCTGCTTGTTTTCCCTGCAGGCCTCTCCATTTCAGGAAGGTGCTCTTCGGGAAGCAGACATTCATAGCATGGTTGTTTCCAATATATTAATTAGAACTAAATAACTGGGCAAAAGTGTAATATGCATATAAACAAACACAATTATAATAAAGTGTGGAAGTACTAAAATCATCTAATAATCAGGTTGATTAAATTACTTCACATAAACCAACAATTCCTTATAAGCACTGTGTAATGGCTTAGGAAGGCTGTGGTCTTGTTCAGCTCTCAGCCTGGAAAATAACAGGACTTTTATCAACACTCACTGCCAAGTGACATATTTAAGTTCCAGCCAAATAACTGGTACAGGGAGTGTCAATCGCTGCCAGTCTGAAACTAGTGTTGAGACTGTGGCTCTGCTGCCAGTTCCAAGAGCCTGTACAGATTATTGGTTATCTAATGCAGCCAACCTTTTCTCTCACTGCCCTTTCCCCCTCAGAACTCCCAACAATAGATTACAGTGGATTACATTGGAGATATTTCAATATTTCAACATGACACAACTTCTTAAATTTAATATTCAGAAGATAAATTCAATGAAATAGTATGATTTATCATGATTCAGCTGTAGCTAGTTATTGCAAAAATCATTCTTTATTCACTGCGCTCTGGGGATTCTTGCTCCACATGCATGCTAGCCAACATCTTGCATTTAAAAAGTGCAAGAACATTGAAGTAAAGCTGATCCTTAACTTAGAAAGATGGGAAAACAATCAGGTGCAAAAGTAAAGACATAAAATCTGAGGGAAAGGTTAAGCCAGAAAAAAATTACAACCTTTTTCACTTTAAAAAATGTATTCTGAGAGCTTACTTTTTACCTGAAGGAATACCTACCTCATAACAGAAATAGCCATGGGATATTTGTTTTGTGTTTGAGTTCTTTGCCATTATCTTCTTTTCAGATTAGTAGCACACTGCTATTATCAAAATCCTTCCCCTATTGAAACTAGGATTTCTGCTGCTATGCAGGGTGTAATTTCTGAAAGCATCAACCACACGCAAGACTGGACACAGCCATGCATTAGAGAGCAGAATCTGGTGCTACCCTCTGCATACTCCCAAGAACTGTGTTTTAGTTCCCTTTAACTCCCTAATAGCTAAAAATGAGTTTATATGAAAGAATTAACGATATCCCATTTAACATGAATCTAGGAATCCAGAAGACAGTTGCAGAATCTTGGCAAATCACACTAGATTAATGTATTTGAATTGGTGCCCAAAATGTTCAGATCAATGTCTTTGGGGTTTTGGTGGGCAGCTTCTTCCCCTTCAGACTGACAGAGGCCACAGTATGTGCAGTTAATCATTTCAAGGAATAAGAAGTAAGCTTTGACTAATTGGAAGATTTGCCTGTTATTTAAATGCAACTTGTTTGCAGTTTCATCATCCATGTGGAATCCAGAAAGGCATCAGACTATCCCATCAATTTAGTTAGAAAAAAATAAATGAATAAATAGGCTGACAATTTTCTCCCCTGGGACTCACACTGTCACTACATTGTTTCTCTATTATTAATTACCTACGTAAAAATAATTCCCGGTACAGCCGTATATACTCTATGCCATAAATGATTGGATCAGGTGCTTTTCTGTTTGTCTTTCTGTGTGCATTTAAATCTCTTGGTGTCAGCAAGTGATGCTCAGTGGTGCACTCACTAAGGGAAGAAAGGGAAAATTGAGTTGCAGACATCAAAGGGTTACAGGCTACATTTTTTTGATGCGTACAGTAATAGGGTTAGTTCTTTCCTATTTTGTATGAAAGACTCATTTACAACTGCTACTCTGCTTCAGAGGTTTGGATTCAGACTGTCTTGCAAGCAGTTTGTGTGCAAGGCTGAGATGTAATGTGCTAGCAGATGTCACTGACAGGTCAAGGAGTCCTTCAGATGCTGGAAGCCCACAGAGCCCCTAATGAAAAGGGGCAGAAGAGAAGCCAAACACATTTCTTTGAGTCAGAGCTTTTACAAGTGTTTGCTTCGCATACAAAATTCTTGACACAATTTAGTGGAGAAAAAAGCTAAGAATCTGTTTATTTTCAATAAGCCAATACTCTGCAGATTCATTTCACTTAACTAATAGAAAAGAGAGGGAAGGAAAAGGGCAGCTGGGGGCACTCAGGACTTTCCTCTTATTGAACTTCAGACTTTCATACACCCTTCAGCTAAGTACCAGAGGAACAGGTAAATTCATCTGCATCCATTTCACCATCAGGTCTATCCCCAATAAATATTTTTCATCTGTATCATCTGAATTATTTTTTTAGACTCATTCAAATAATGCCACATTTCATTTGTGTCTTACAGACTTTGCCATGTGCCTTTATCTCCATTGTTGCAGTATTATTAATCCTTTAAAACTTTCAAAAA